ATTAGAGGTAATTCAGTATAGAAACTTGCTAGATAGATTTGGTACATTCCCAAGAATAGCCCTATGATATCACCTATATATACACATATAGTTGTTAATATTTATAATACGATATTATATATACGGTATGGTGTATTTTCTCTGGTATATACGTACCTACTACCGGAAAAAGTCCTATTATAGCATCTAAACCAATTGGGATAGGAAGCAACGGGATCGAATCGAGACTACGTACGTATGAATAATATGAATTTAAACTGCATAGTCCTAAATATATCGATATAAGATGGTGTATTCTATTGATAAAATACACCGTTTCATACCCGTATGCTACATTTCTGATATTTTCATACAAGATCTGGGCCTCTTCAATTGTCTGTGGACTACGCGAGGGTGGTACTGGCAGCATTTTTTTCTTTTTAAAGTTTAGAGAGCGACAGGTGGTTTTTATAATGCGTACTCCGACTATTGAGCGTGTAACCAATCGGAACGCTTGTTTATCTCCAATTTCCTCTTCGAACATTAACGCATGTGTGTTTTATGCAAGATGAAAGTTAAACCTACAATATCGATATATATATAGGTATATAGTATAAGCTCTCAAACCATTATATAGTTTGGATTTGTCTACGTACATATACGTACGTAATCAAACTAAAACTTTATTAAGAAATAAATCGTGATCAAACTTAATGCTGTAATGCGTGTACTTTGATCTACGTAGTAATAACTGTAATATCGATATACAGTACATGAATATACATGATAAAACTGTTGCGTGTACACGATTACGCAGACCAAAGAGGTAAATTTTTTATGAAAATTTGAATGATCGACATGCAACGGTAGGCCTGCCTTTTTTAAACAGCATTTTCGGGGGTTTTCTAAAAGGAAACAACATTCACACTTTCTTATTTTTGAATTTAAAGTGAAGAAATAAAGCTAAGAAAAATTATGCCTTCAAAGATGGCTTACCAATTTATTTTATATATATAGTATTCGCTTTATACCTTTTTTTTTTTAACTTACCAACCCTTTAAAATATTATAATAATTAAAAATTTCACACTCAATTTCTTTTTAACTTCTTTATTCTGAATATTAAAGAAGCTTATAATCACAAGTATATTTATTTATATATATTAGATAGTATAGTTAACTATAAAAAATACTATATTTAATTACATATACAGTCGGACCTCCCTAAATGCAACCTCCATAAATACAATATCTCCCTAAATGCATGTTTTTGTCTTGGCTCATTAGTGCTAAATACACGTTCTATATTCTGCAAATGCATGTTCACTCAAAAGATTTTTATAGTGCATGTAGCCAATCAGAAGTCAGTATTTAAGTTTGTTACACAAGTCTGCAGATCAAATATTAAAAGCTGCAATT